TTTTTTTTTAGAAAGAGAGAGAGAGAGAGAGAGAGAGCAAATGGCGAAGGAAACTCGAAGTTTTAAGGAAGTTCGACCCATTAAGGACCTTCATTAAGCGGCGATGCTTTCATTGTGAAAACTGTGAAATCCAGGTCGAGGGGAATGTTAAGCGGTTCGTTTTCGCCGTCACGATGTTAAAAATTTGAACGTTGAATTTGATAATGATTGTTTTGACTGTATGAGCGGAATACGACTGGTGACTGTTTGTCTGCGAAATATAGGAGATGAATCAGATAAATGATCAAATGTGCAAAGCGAAATATTACTTATGATAGAGCGTGAGGTACTTGGAGAAATTTATAGAAAGATAGAATTTGTTATTAAATTGAATAAGAGAAACTTTTCAAGATTAATTTGCTGTAAATCTTATCTGAATGGAGGTGAATTTAAACGAAGAGAAAATTTAAATGACGATAAATTTTTTTTAATAGATGATATAAAACTGTTAAAAATTTAATCACTCTGTGTAATAATAATAAATTATAATAAAAAGATTCAGCTACGTTTCCTTTCAGAAATTTCCCCTTTTTGGTTCCTATTATCATGCCGTGTACCAAAAGGCATTCTTTGTCCATGGCGGCTGTCAAATAATCTCGAAAAAGCCGTAACGCGACGTAAACGAATTTTTAACAAGCCTCTTTCAATATTCTCAGACAGTCTTGACTTGCGGATTTTGTTTCCCCGCTGATGCTTGCTAACTAATTCCATCCAAGACTTTTTAATCTTATTTCCACATCCCTTTTTTTTTATTTTTATTCGCAGCGTTAATTTTCACAGTAAAAAAAAAGGGTCGTTTAATTGTCTTGTACTTACTTTATTTACCAAATTATTACCAAATTTTAAAAATTCGCATTTCCACGAAGTGATAGTAAACTCATCGAAATATTGATTTCTCACTTCGATATTCATCGAATGTCCCGTTTCAGTCAAACATATACTTCGGTAATTTATAAAATTTTTGTAAGTCAAAATTACAACAACATCCTGGCCTCTGTTCTAGAAATTTTTATTACTTATTTATTTCACTTGGATATGAAAATGTTTTTCAAGAAATTTAATATAAAGCGTGATGTCTCAACGGATTGTGCTTCTGCTTTAAAAAAAAAAAAATGAATCTTCGTGTTCTTGCATTTTTCTGAATATCAGTATCTCCGACAATAAAAAAGTGTATTTATGTTCTTACAGAGATGAAACTCCATGCAACTCCATACTCGAGATATGGTTCACATCTCTTCTACACTGGCATCTTTACGCGTGTCTCTCACGCATCGTCTAATAAGAAGCGACGCGATAGGATCGAGTTTCCCGCCTTCGCTCACGAAAGAAGATCCTTATTTCAAAGAAGCGTGTCTTAGTTTCGAAAAAAAAATGGCAGGGTAACGGTAACGTGATAATGCTGGAGTTGTTCTTGAAATCGGTACGCGGTGGAAAATTTTTCGGCAAACGTTCGAACGCCAGGAGAATCGAGTTTTCAAATTTCCGAAAATTTAGAATCGTGCCAAAGTGTACGAATTACACCTTGATAAAAAATCAATTGAGCCTAACTCGAGGAGAGAGTGTTAGGAATAATTTTCCAAGTGCGTTTGTATCAGTCGATTCCTTTCAAAAATTTCTCGTACAATTATATTTTTGATAATTCTGCACTATTCTTCGTTTTACATTCAGAACGAAGTTAAAATCTTTGCACCAGCGAATTCAGCCGCTGAGAAGTATTTGGAAAGAGGTCTGAGTACTACAATAATCTAAACACGGTAAATGACTGGGATACTCGTCGACCTGGCTCCTTCCATTAATTGCTCGCACGAATATTGAATTCATGGTTGAACGCTGTATACGACCGTACAAACGGCAAATCAACAGTGTGGTTAACCACGCTATCTACAGGTACAACGAACCTATCAGGAGCAGTTAGAACGCAGAACTTAGCAATAAGTGAACCTATTCTAATTGCTAATTGCTCACTGTTTAGTGTTAATTTCGACATGTAGAACTGTTTTTTTATTTACACAACGTGTCACTGTACTTTCTGCAAGTGCGAAGAACTGGTATTAAAAATAACCTGTTGAACATAACAAAATGATAATAGTGATAGATACGACGAGAATCAAAATCTTGGAGATAGTTTCCCTCGAACGAAAGAAAGTAAAGCGTGAAGCGTTGTTTAGTTAAATTTTCTCGTGTCGATCAATCTTCCAAAAATATCTGCACTTTTCTAGAGGTGTCTTGTGTAAGATAACAATCTGTTTTATACGATATTTCCACTTCGGTGCATTTTGTAGCGTAAATTTGTTAAACAACCGACATTTTACTCGTCGCTCTCTGACAACTATATTCAAGGATTTAAAACGCCATTATCAAATCCGACGTACGTAATCACAACGATTCCAGGATGTATACGAGGTAATAAGGAACCTTTTAGAAAATTTTCCAAACGATTAATAACAATACCGGCCGGTAATAAAACTCGGGTAAAGCTGCGCTTCGGTACAACGAGAAATTATTAAAAAATTTGCTCCGCGTCGTCGCACAAAACCGCGTCCATTCCGGATTTATTAATCCTCGCTGTATTCCCTTATTATCGAAGTAAGAACATTGGCTGTAGACGTGGATGGGCTTAGCTGGGTGGTACTTAGCTGGTTTAGCCCAATATTATCTTATCTATGATAATCCGTCTCGTTGTCGGAATACGGTTTCGTACTGTAATCCGCGTAAGCCAACCGGATATCGGCCCTGGTTGTAGCACAGTCTCTTTCTCGATTCCACGTAACATCCGGCTGATCGATCTTCGCGGTCTGCTCCTTCATTTTTCTTCGCGGTTTCTCGCCGCGCCGACTGGCTTTGACTTTGAAAAATTGAATCCGCTCCCGCGCCCAGCTGAATGCACTGACACGCATTTCGAAAAGGAATGAAAAAAAAAAAAGAAAAAAGAAAATGGAGCATCCGAGCATCAACTGAAGAAACTGATATGCTAGTCGACAGTGTGCCACGAAAGATTTCTCTCATTTACGTCGAAGACTTACGGTGCGTACGCCTTTCTCCTCTAATTTCCTCTAATAATTGATTTTAAGAGTATCAGCGAGTAGCTCGAAGTGTTCGCGAGGCTGAAATGTGGAGAAGTTGCTTTAAAAGGCGACTGATATTTATCGATGATAAATTGATCGATGTTAGAAAGGAGTTATGAACTGCTCGTGAAGAGGGAAGTTTGAATTTAGTTTCCTTCAGCGCGAAGGACTTTGGCTATTTATGCACGATCGCTCGAAAGTTTAGAACACGTTAGGATTTCCGAATATTTTATTGACAGTGTTAGGCAGTGACAGACTGCCAATTTTTGCGTAAATTCGTATTTCCTTGAAAATAGCTTTAAACCCAAACCAAATATTAAGCAATTGGACAAGTTACTGTATCTAATGCATCTTACTCTGTATTTATGCACGATTGCTCGAAAGTTTAGAACACGTTATGATTTCGAATATTTTATTGACAATGCCAGAAAGTGACAAGCTGCCAATTTTTGCCATTTTGTAAATTCGTATTTCCTGGAATGTCGTTTAAAAAGTGTGGACCCAAACTAAACATCAGGCAATTAGGCAAATTACTGTATCTCACCTTACTCCACATCTCACACTATTTTGTACATTTTGTACATTTTTCTATCACAAAATGTCGCATGATCGTCTGAATAAATTTGATCCATCTTCGTTTCGCTGAGAGTTTCCAAGTTTCAACTAACGCGAAAACGAAATACGAAATGCACCGGATGCATGGTGGTAAATCCTATTTTCTGAAAAACCCTACGGGGAGAAAAAGAATTAGCGGATAGGATTGCTGAATCGGGATTCAAATCCGAGCCTTTCGTTTGTTCGCCAACTGTTCCGGTAAATCGAGTCACAAAGGCCATTATAACGGGGAAATTCGATTTTCCATCGATTCGCCGAAAGTACTACATCAGTCGGAGACATTCATACTTCGCCTCGCGAGAATAAACTCATTAATGAAAAACTGTATCCAACCAACTCGCAGCCCAGTTTAATTGCATTTTGTGAACGGTGGCTTTTGCGAGATGAGGTTCACTTCGGTTCGATATATATTTAAACGAAATGTTTCCATTTTTTTAACTAGTAAAACTTTCTAATTCTGTTAATTGGATTTTCTGTTGATTGAAACACTACAATGCGCGATGAAATTAACTCAAATTTAATATATCTTAATTAA